AGGATTTGAAAAGCTTTCAATTGCTGGGCCAGGCTAATTCCTCCTCCCTTTATGTGATTCTCTGCCATGGCCATGATTGTATATTTATTTATGTATTTAGATTTATATCCCGCTCTCCCAGCCAAGGTTGGCTCAGGGTGGCTTACAAACGGAATAAAACACACACATAAATTTAAATAGTCCTAATATCAGATACTCCTGCCAACCTAGCAGTTCGAAAGCAAGAAATTGCAAGTAGATAAATAGGTACCACTTCGGTGGGAAGGTAACAGCGTTCCGTGCACCTTGGTGTTTAGTCATGCCGGCCACATGACCACGGAAACGTCTTCGGGCAGCGCTGGCTCTTCGGCTTTGAAACGGAGATGAGCAACGCAAGCCTAGAGTCGGATTCGACTGGCTTTCGAGCAAGGGAACCTTTACCTTTTAATATGAGATAAGGGGTGGCCAAACTTGCTTAACGTAAGAGCCACATGGAATAAATGTCAGATGTTTCAGATCTGCAAGACATGAACAAGTATTGCACACAGGTTTTTATTGGAAAATATGCAAATTTGCTTTTTATTCACAGTGCGCCTGGATCCCTCCCTTACTATGGAGGCACACTCTCTACATGGGGCTACCCTTGTCACAGATTTGGAAGCTGCAGCTAGTGCAGAATGCCACAGCCAGGCTGTTGTTGGGTCTCCCTAGATGGGAGCACATCCAGCCTGCGCTGAGGACACTGCACTGGCTGAACTTGGCGACAGTGATCCATGCAATGGTCACCTTGAGACTAGACTACTGTAACACTCTCTACATGGGGCTGCCCTTGTCCCAAATCCAGAGGCTTCAGCTGGTGCAGAATGCCACAGCCAGGCTGTTGTTGGGTCTCCCTAGATGGGAGCACATCCAGCCTGCGCTGAGGACACTGCACTGGCTGCCAATAGCATACTGAATCCGCTTCAAGGTGCTGGTCCTTACCTTTAAAGCCCTTTATGGCCAGGGTTCGACATACCTACGGGACCGCCTTTCCCCGTATATACCCCAGAGAGCACTACGGTCTGGGTATCAAAATCGGTTGACCCTTCCTGGCCCGAGGGAGGCCAGGCTAGCTGCCACTAGGGCCGGGGCCTTTTCGGTGGTGGCCCTTACCTGGTGGAACGAGCTCCCAGAGGAGACCACGGCCCTACAGGACCTCTCACAGTTCCACAGGGCCTGTAAGACGGAGGTCTTCCGCCAGGCATTCAATTACGGGCCGCCGCTGTTGGACCATCATTAGATCGACCGATTGTTGCAGCACCTGGCCCATGAGCCACCATCGAGCTGTTGCCTTAAGGAAACTACGAGCAGAAGAACACCTTAGAGCATTGGGAAATGGAAATCCATTGAAAATGTGCCATTTAAGTGACTTTTAACACTTTATGCTTGTTGATTTGTAGTGTTTTTAATAATTGTGTTTTAAGCTGTATATATGTCATGTTGGAAGCCACCCTGAGCCTGATTTGTGGGGAGGGCGGGGTATAAATTTAATATAAATAAATAAACATTAGATGAGACTGAGTAGTTAAAAGATATGTTACCTGTAGAATTTGATGAACAAGTTAGGGGGAAATGAGGGGACTATAAGATATGGGCTGGAGGTTGGAGCACTGTGGGAAGCCGGAAGGGGTGGGGAACTAGGAGAATTAGGAGAAAAGGATATAAGAAAGTTAGTAAAATGATATATGTTTGACTTATTAATATATCCTAAAAAAATTGTTATTTTTTAAAAAAACAAACATTAGATGAGACTGCCGAAAATAAAGCCTAAGGGGTAAAAACAGATACTGATAATGATATTTATTGGTCCAATGATACTTAATTGTTTGCTAATGATATTTGTCTAAGAGGTAGAAAGAAAGCAAATGGATAGGGGAGGGAGGGAGGAAGGGGAAAAAGAGAGAGAGAGAGGTGTGGAAAGAAAGCAAATAAATGTGGAGGGAGGAAGGGAGTGATGGAAAGAAAACAACTTTAACTTTAAATGTGTTCTCCAACCCCCCTACATCCCTACACCCCCACACCAGCTGGCTTGTCTAGGAGAAGGGATTTAAAGAGACAAATGCCTTCTCCAAGCTGACATGGGGGGGGGGGGTTTGAGAAAAGTTGCTTTCTTTCTCTGCTCCCCCCTCCCCACCTCAAGCCTACCCATAGAGTGAAACCCTGGCTGGGGAAGGGAAGACCAATCGTGGAGGCAAGCCTCCCCTTCACTTCCCCAGCTGCCCTTCCAGGAGCCGCACAATATGTGTTAAAGAGCCACATGTGGCTCCCGAGCCACAGTTTGGCCACCCCTGGTATAGACTCTCTGCCACTCTCGACCTTCTATGCCTCCTGATGCCTGCTCAGTCTTCACCTAGTGCACTCGAGGCTCTGCCATCTGGTCCTCCCATTATGGGAGTACAAGTTATTCTTAAACTTATTTTGTTTGCCAGCCGAGTTGAGCTAATACTGCTTTTTCCACTTTGGATACAGCAGGATCGCCACCACCTCTCTGCCAGCCGCACACAGCTGTCTCCCCCCACCCCCCAGAAGTGGCCATGGCTCAACAACAGAAAAGGTTCCCGGTTCAATCCCCGACGTGTCCGGGAGCCACAAAACAAGCCCACCTCGCTGACGGCCTGCGTGAGGATCTGGATGATCTTCTCGTGCGGCATGGCCACGCCGCTCTGCCCATTGATCTCGATGATGCGGTGTCCGACCCGGATGCCGCCCCTCTCTGCAATCCCGCCACGCATGAGGCTGCAGATCTGGATGGCAGAAGGGGGGAGCCACAATACAGCATTTGGTAGCAGTTGAGGCACAGTCTTGGCAAGATACAGTTTAAGGGCCACTGGAACATATTGCCCCCCTTTCGCATAAAAAAAATCTGACAATGCCCTGGGTCGATTTGCGACCAGAATTCACAGCATATTCATGATGGGCCCTTTTTGCGCCTGAAGATTGAATCATAACTCCAAGGTATTTATAAGCTGCTACCTGCTGTAGCTTATAGCCATTTATGCTCCATTCTTTGATCTTGGGTTTAGTGCCAAAGGCCATTATTTTAGTTTTGTTACAACTGATCTCCAAATGATTTAAATCACAATGCAGGGCCAAATTGATTTAGCGCCCCTTTCAGGCTGACTGGCATCCTGGATAATAGCACCATATCATCCGCATACAGTAAAGCTTAACAGATGTCGATCAGCTAAGGTGGGCGGGTATCTACCAGTCCCAGATAACTGATTAAATCATTAGTGTAAATGGCAAAGAGGGAAGGGGCCACTACACAACCTTGCTTGACCCCTTTATTAGATGGAATAGAATTAGAGAGGAGGCCTTGCTTATTTCCTATAACCCTGATCTCAGTGTTTGAATATAGTACCTGTATCAGAAATAGGCGTCTCCTATCCATTGAAGTCATCTCTAGCTTCCCACTGATGTACCGCCAATAGTGAATGCCTTGAACTGTCCTGCTCTCACTAGGTAGGTGCTGGGACCACATTTGTGATGGCACCACATTTGTGGTTACTGCTCCAAAAAATAGTTGTAGCAACGATTTAATAATCCTTTCATGGGCCATGCCAAAACATTTCTATTAGCCCAGGTGTTTGGTGGGTGATGGGGCATCTTGCTGCTTTTGTGTTTTTTATTTAAACCACACGTGGGAATTTTGATTTAAAAACAAGACTATATTGCAATCTTATACAACCTTAAAGGGTGTAAGGGAGCTTGCTTTTTCCCAGCCTTCCACACACGACTTGACTTACTCTCTTGAGCCCTTCAGTTACTCACAATGCCATTTTCCACGCAGAACCCCAGAGGGTATTTTGTGTCAGGCCGCCGAACAATGGCTGTGGTTACTGGGGGACAGTGCACAACTTTCAAGGTCACTTCGGTCTGGGTTTTCAAATCCTGGGAGGGAGACATGATTGGAGACAGGTCAGAAAGGCTAAACCTGTGTGTGCCACTGGTAAATATGATGCCGGGGGCTGAAATATCTCCTGCTTAAAGGTAAAGGTAAAGGTTCCCTTGCTCAAAAGCCAGTCGAATCCGACTCTAGGGTTGCAGTACTCATCTCCGTTTCAAAGCCGAAGAGCCAGCACTGTCCAAAGACGTTTCCGTGGTCATGTGGCCGACATGACTAAACACCAAGGTGCACGGAATGCTGTTACCTTCCCACCGAAGTGGTACCTATTTATCTACTTGCAATTTCTTGCTTTCGAACTGCTAGGTTGGCAGGAGCTGGGCACTCACTCCGTCATGTGGCAACTCGGGTCTCGAACTGCTGAACTACCGACCTTCTACAGCCCGCAGTTCAGCGTCTTAACCACTTGAACCACCTGCTTACCTACTACCTTATCTGGAGGCATAGCCAACATCTGTTAAAGACCTAAAAACTAATCTGTAGGATGGTGTCTAATGTTTATTGGAACAGTACAAGAAATATTAAGCTTTGCTTTTAATGCACATTTAAATGATGCATGTTTTTGTTTCATTGCTTCTGTTTCGGAATGAACAACTAGATGGCTATCTGACAGCAATGCTGACTCTGTGAACTTAGGCAGATCATGAGAGGGAGGGCAGGAAGGGTTGCATCCATGCTTACTTCTTGTGGCCTTTCTTACATGCCTGGGGAAATACTGACTGTCACTTTGGGGTCAGGAAGCAATTTTTCTCCAGGCCGGTTTGCCCAGGGATCCTGGAGGTTTTTTGTCCTCTTCTGGGCATGGAACAGAGGTCCCTGAGGGTGTATGCGTGGGGGAAGATTTGTGTATTTCCTGCGTTGTACAGGGGATTGGACTAGATGACCCTGGTGGTCCCTTCCAACTCTATGATTCTATGACCTCGGCCGAGTACTGAAGTCCTGCCCTACAAACAAAAATCCTGCTCAGCTCCTCCTGAGATTTTACCGGGCGGTCCACAAAAACCAGGAATGAAAGAGAAACGGGAAAATCTTGTTGGGATGCTGTATTCTGCATTGCAGACTTTGATTCAGACAGGCAATAAGCCGTAAGATTTTTACTTTGCCCTGCTCTAGAGCTGTGAGACCCTTCCTGCTCCCCACCTGGGCACAAGCCCCCTCACCCGTATGATGTTCTGGCACGTGGCAAGGGGCAACCCCACCAGGCTGGTCCCGTTGACGGACATGATGCGGTCTCCGATGCTCAGGCTCCCTGACGTCTCTGCTGCTCCCCCGTGCATGAGGTTGGCGATGACCACCGTGGGCAGGATGGAACCCCAGCCCGACTCGACAATCACGATACCCAAGATCTCCCCCTTTTGTTTACGGATGACGACCTGGGCGGGCAACAACAGAGGCATGAAAGGTAGGCTGCAGAGAGGAAGGCCAAGACATGAGGTTTAGGAACTGACCTAACATGGGGTGCCTGAGGGTGAGGGGCAGGGCTTCAGCCTAGATGGAAAAAATTTCCTTGGGAGGCCACCCACTCCCAAATTGTTGTTGTTCAGTCGCACAGTCAAGTCCGACTCTTCGCGACCCCATGGACAAGATCTCGCCAGGCTCTCCTGTTTTCCGCCGTTCTCTGAAGTTTGCTCAATTTCATGTTCGTTGCATCGATGACACTGTCTAACCATCTAATCCTTTGCCGTCCCCGTCTTCTTTGACCTTCAATCTTTCCCAGCATCAGGGTCTTCTCCAGTGAGTGCTCCCTTCTCATTTGGTGGCCAAAGTATTTGAGCTTCAGTTTCATTACCTGGCCTTCCAGGGAACAGTCAGGGTTGATTTCTTTTAGGATTGACTGATTTGATCTTCTTGCAGTCCAAGGGACTCTCAAGAGTCTTCTCCAGCACCATAGTTCAAAAGAATCTATTCTTCGGCGCTCGGCCTTCCTTATAGTCCAACTCTCGCAGCCATACATGACTACTGAAAGACTATTGAAAGAGGTAGTCAATCTTTAAAGGTACAATTGTGGTCTTAGGGTACTGTCTCAGTGATGATCTGGTTCTTATAGATCCACATGGGTCAATGCAGGGGTAATTCATGAGGACAACCAGATGGATTTCACCTAGAGAACTGGTGTTGAGTAGTGATGGGCATGAACTGGGAAAATGTGGTATGGTTCATGGTATGCCAGCTTCATGAACCATGAAACATCACAAATAAACCAGTTTCATTTGTGAGGTTTGTGACATGGTAGAACACCCCTCAGCATGATAGAGACACCAAACTCACAAGGGATATCCGGCTAACCCACCTCTACCTACATGCCAAGGTTGGTGAGGATTGAATTTATGGGGTTCGAGTTATGGCTCCCCCAAAGAAGGTGTCCCCAGGAAAGCATTTTCTGGGGAAATGACAAGCACAGGAACCCCCCGCGTTCCCCCCCAAAATGACCTCTGACTGTGCCACAGAAGGCAACTACAGCAGTTGCAATCCTGTTGAGGTTTTAAAGTTTTCGGCGTAAAATTATAGGGAAGGAGTGTCAAAATCCATCACCTATGATTCCTATCCATCCTCCCGTAAGAACCAGGCAGCGGCAGGGAGGTGGAAGTATTTGTTTGTCACGTTTTTATTCTGTCTTCAGCCCAAGGAGAGCAAGGTGGTATCCTTGGTTCTCCCATCCAACACCTGATCCTCCCTACAAACCTGCAAAGTAGGCTAGGCCAAAAGGAAAACAACTGGCCAAGGTCACCCAGTAAATTTCATGGCGTGTGAGGACTTGAACCCCAGGCCTCTAGGCTACACAGGAGAGAGCTATCCCGCTCATCACAATCCTGAGAGGTAGGTTAGGACATGAGACGGAGCTGCCTCAGAGGCTGAGCGGAGATTTAACCTGGGTCTCCCCAGACTGGGTTCAACAAGAGTGTCAAAGAGCCATGCAGAAGCGTAGTCAACCTCAGTGCTCCTATCTCGTCCTCCAGCCCTGGGAGAATGTAACTCGCTCATTCTTACTTCCTTACAGTTCTCTTGCTTGGAGAAGTGAGCCAAATCCCCATTGTACAGGTCCTCTCCTGTGGTCAGTACGTCGTCGTCGTCGTCATACCGGCGAGGGCCAACCTGGCTAGGGTCGATGCCGCTAGCATGGAGGAACTGCTGGTATGCCACACTGAAGGCCTGGCCAATTGCCTGAGCTATCAACTGGGCCTGCAGAAATGGGACAGAAAGGCAAAAATCAGAGACAGTTTCTGAGATCTGAGAAGGGGAAAGGGTAACAGTCCCTTTAGCCCTGAGCACATCCCCAAAGGAGAGGTTAGCAGTCCTGGTCGTTTCCTCACCGATCTCCGGAGCTATCTTTGAGAATCCTTTGTGCTGATATTTCAGAGAACTGAAATCCAAATGCTTCAGCGTTGTGCGTTTGTTGTTTATCTGTCTTGTACACTTTTCTCATGCTTTTCCTTCAAGGAGCTCAGTGCAACATGCATGACTCTCCCATACTTTATGCTAACAACAGCCCTTTGAGGTGGGTTAGGCTGAGAGAGGCCCAAGACCAACCAGTGAGCTTTCCGCTGCGATTGGACCCTTGATGTCCCAGATCCTAGCCTGATGCTGTAACCGTCACACCACGCTGGCTCTCCATCTATTCCACCCATTTAAAAAATTTCATCCTGCACTTCTCATCAAATACAAGTTTTTGAGGCTGCTTATAAATTATAAGGCATTGTATACTACAAAATAATGCAAAAAAAAAATCACTCAATTGCTATTTAAATAAGAAAAGATTATCAATTGCTGAAAACAACAGCCAATTAAACGATCAATGGAGCATTTTTTTAAAAAACAACCAACATAATATTACAGAATAGAGCAGGGCCTCAAAAATGTTAAGAGATGAGCAAATATGTATAGCACTCTGTGAGACAGGCTGTCATGATCTGGGCTGTGCCACAGAGGCCTACTAGGCTCAGGGAGCCTGGCTAGCAGTAGGTGAGGCTGGGCCTACAACTCCCAGAAGCCCCTGAGAGGTTCTGGAGCCAAAATTGACCAATAGGGAAGAAGAGGGCTGGGGAACAAAAGGGCTGGTGCCAGAGCAGAAGCTGTTCTTCTTCCCAGAGGGCAGAGCCAGAAGGAAGGTAGCTACAGGGAAGAAACCCTCATCCTGAGGGAAGGGTGAGTAGTCTAAGGCCACTGCAGATAGTGAGCTAGGGACAGTATATATTTAGATGCGTTAGGGCATTTGATTTCTTTTCACCCACTTACTGTTATAATTCTGCACCTTGTTTGTTTGACCTTGTTTGCATTGTTCACTCTGCCTTGTCCTCACGCCTGTTATTTGTCCAAAAGGGAGGTCTGAAGGTCTTGGGAGGGTACCCTGGGCCTTCTCAAGGGAACCTAAATCCAGAGTGGTGGCAACATCAGGTGACACCCCACCTGAGCCGTGACACAGGCAGACTACAGAAATATGCCCCAGAGATACAGTAGCGGTGCTCTGCATCAGCCAATGGGAGCTGTACTGGAACAAGAGGGAGTTTGTGAGAGAGAAGAAGTTAGGGTTTGAAGACAGCAGCTTGGCCTTGTGCGGGAATAGAAATTAGGGTTTGAATAGAAGAGTGTGATCTTCTGAGGGAAAAGAAGTTCAAGTCAATGGAAGCAGCTTGGTCTTGTGAGGGAATAGAAATTAGGGTTTAAGTGGAAGAGTGTGGTCTTCTGAGGGAAAAGAAGTTCGGGTTTGAAGGGAACAGCTAGGTCTTAAGAAAGAGAAGAAGTTCGGGCGAGGGAGAAGAAACTAGGGTTTGAAGAGAGAGGAGCTAGATCTCGTGATGGAAAAGAAGTTAAGAGTTTGAAGGATCTGTTAAGTCTTGTGAAAGGGAACAAGTTAGGGACCGGAGAGAGCAGCTAGATTTTGCGAGGGAGAAGAAGTTAGAGTTTGAAGAAAGAAATTAGGTTTTTGAGGTTTAATCTAGCAGGACTATGAATAAAGATATGAGGAGATACCATGTTTTCAGTTAAAGAGTTCCTTGTTGAGAGAATGGAGCATACTGAGGTGTCACAGTAGGCCAGCAATAGTTTGGCTGGGGCTGATGTGTAACTAAGGTCGATTTCAGACTTGCGTTTTAGCCTCTGAACTGCTGAAAGGCTGTTTTAAGATTTTTAGCCAATCATTTTTTCTTCTGTGGTTTCTCAAGGTGTTCCTTGAAAACTACCTTTTTATTGGATGCTCTATCTTCTTGTGATGCTGAATTAGTGCGGCCTGTCACATGAAAGTTACGTTGTAACTTTAAAGATACCAACCCCCCTTCCCCCCCACACACCATTTGCTGCATCAGTTCAAAGAAGCAAACCATCTGAAACTGCCATTCCTATCTCGCCTGAGATGGAAACACTGCAGCAATAGAAGGGGGGAAAGTTGTACACCTCCATACGAAAGCCACGCAAGTCGCCACAGAAAGCTGTAGTGATACGTTATATACCTGCCTGAGAGAGCGGTTTCTGGCCCTGGCCCTGAGGGACTGTAGCCAGGGATTTACCCTGTGTGCTACCTCTTTACTATGGCCTAAGGAAGCAACTGGCCCACTGGTGCAAACCTCTGATATAAATGATTATTTTAAAAAAAGAAAGCTGGGTTAGGTTCCATTTAGCTTTCATAAATTAGCAGATTTAGGTCTATTCTCCATTAAATATTCTTTGCAAACATGTCCCGGGCACACACAAACCTCAGAGGCCACTGGCGTTCCCCCCCCCGCCCCCAAAGCTCACATCAGTCGAGTGGAAGACATGGCAGATCATTTTGTAGAGCTGCTTTTCCACAGAAGCATCTGCCTGGCGAGGTAGCTTCCTACGGGCCATGAGCACCACGATATTGCCAATGTCAGCTATGTATGAGATGGTGGCGAGGGGATGGTCCATCATGGCTTCCTGTGGGGAAAGAGAGGTCAAGGATGCTGGGATGTGTGGTTGGCATTGAGCTCTGGATCAGTAATCTGAGGGACAAGAAAGGGGACCTGCGATA